CTCGGCCTCCCTCCTCCCCCCTGAGGGTGAGGAGCGTGGATTTGTAAGAAGGAGTCACAAAAGTTCTGCAGCTGCGATATTTCTGTGGGAAAGGTTTAAGTATGTGAAAGCTCAGACACATGCCCAAATCATTGTGCACCAGCCGAGCTGTATCGTTTAAACGTGCATGCACTTCATTTATGGCAAATGCAACTTGACATAAGTTATCTTAGGCTAAAATAGTTTACTTTTGTGCTGGATTTATAGTGGGTTACTGTGGCCTAGCTAGCCCTTTGTAATTTGTTGAAGCAAAGTAAACTCGGTAGGGTTTTTGTTTTTTTCAGTGTAGCTCAATACTGGTATTTCTTTTGCAGGATGGCTCATGAAAAACAAGTGCTCCTTAGCAAGAGAAGGCTTTAGAGTCTGTCTTCCAATGTGATGTAACCCGTCCTTGGAATATTTCTGAATAGTCTGGCAAGGGCAGAATGGACTATTCTACCTTGTGGACTATCAGTCAAAGATAGCAGAATTTAAGCTTGTGTTGTCAGGTATTTCTTGATTTTTTTTTTTTTTTAGACTATGTATTTGTGAGGTTGCACCTTGACTCCTGCTTAGATAAGATATTGAGAAACATCCCTTCCTCTCAGCCTCTTCTTTAGGAACAGCAGACCTACTCTGCACATTAGTGCATGAATGCTGAAGTGGGACTGACAAACTTGTTTTCCTCTTTTAAAAATTCCTGTCTCCCCTGATCTGTGCCTCCAAGCTTTTTGTCTTCCCTGACATCTATACTAATTTAGCCCATTCCCATAAACCTTTCACTGCTTTGCCTTCTACTTTTGCTTTGATTTGCTATGCTTTTCCACCCCATTAGCCAAATATATATTAAGATTATATCTACAAAAAACATTAAGAAAAAGCAACCTCTGACAATGGAGAACAGTAGATATTTTTAATTAAAGGAATCTTGGATATCTTCCCAGGGTTGTATTCCGATTGCAAAGACAGAATGTAACAGTGAAAATGAAGGTTGGTAAAACTAGCTAACAGGAAACTCTGGCCTAATTTGTTTTCATTGTATATATTCTTCATACATTCTAATCCTAAAAGCTTAACTTTTTTTTTTAGTTTTTGTTTCGGTAAAATTCTTCAGAGGATCTGAGCTCGGTGTTGAATGCCTCAGAGCAATTGAGGACTGGGATTTGAGCCATGCTGAGAGTGCTTTTGCCAAATGTCGACAAAGGTGAATTGCTAAACCTAACCTGGATTCTAAAAGGCACAGGAAATTTCAAGACAGCCCAAGTGCACATGTAGATTTTAGAGCGCTTAGAATTCTGAGTCAAGCTCAGGAAAGGAGGATCTTTCCAACTTTATAGCAGAATGGGTGTTCCATAATACATGATGTAATAGTAAAACTTCTAATTACTAAGAAGTGTACAATTTCCCTTACAGGGATTTTGGGATCTTCCTCCGAAGATTCTGGTAGCAGCCACTGTTGAATATCAGGTACCAGTCTAAGTGGAGCAGTGGTCTAATCTTGTACGGTATTTCTTCCCTTCCTTTATAATCAATTCAATTATATTTAATGATAAATGTTTTCAAGGTGTAAGTAAAGAAGATAAGTCTTCATCCATGTCAAAGGCAAGTATAATCTCTTCTTAAAATTCAGCTGTTTGTTTCTTCAGTGAGTATTTCTTAAGCTGTTTTTGGTGGATCATCAGAAGATTACTATTACCATTTCTTTTTCTATATTATAAACATCTTTTCTCATATTTTTTAAAAAGATGTATGCTTTTTCTTTTTAAAGAATGATCTTTTGTTTACTTCTGTATGGTACTGGAACAAAACACAAGCCAGAAAGAAAAACAAATCTTTTATTTAAAAAAAAGAGTGCTAATCCCTTCTTACAAAAAGGCAAACATACAGGAATTTTGCTCCTTTTCTCATGGCATAAAACTGGGCTTTTCTCTTTCTGTGTTGCACTCAAGGCACTGTAAAATTTTTTGAAAAGGACCTCAAATGCGATGTTAGCGATAAAAACATCCCTAATGTCGTGAGATCTTAGATTAATCCCCAAATGTAATTAATAGGTTAAATGCCTAGGTTAAAGGTTGTTGTTTGTGTTTTTCATTTTTGTTACCTGCACTACTTTCTTAAGATGAAAAAAACACGAATTATCGTTTTAAAATTGCTAGAATCATTTAGACAACCCAAAAAACTAGCAGTAGTGTTGCAATTTAAACATGATTGAGTAAGTGACCAAGGAGGAGGCTTAAAACCTTTAAAAACTAGAATGCTTTTAAATGGTTTTAAATGGTTGAAATGTATGGATCCAGAATTTTCCTCAGGAAATACTGTTTCACTTTCATTCTGTAAATTGGAGGCACTTTTACTTTTTAACAGATTTTTTTAAAGTACTTTACCAGTTTGAGTTGTGTTGCATATCTTATTAGAAGCAAATGCTCCTTGAGCCTTTTTTGTGACCATAAATGGAAGGTCCTGCTCCTGTTTTCATGGGCTGATGTTTTTAAAGTTATATATTTTTTACGCAATTGTTTTTGCCACTAAAATTGTGCTGAATAATATATTTCTATATACATGTGTTTCAGAAAATATAGAGATACAGAAACTTTCAGCACGATGGGCTACTAAGGGTCTTAATTAAATTTCAGGTCTGTACCATATCACCACTGTAATTGTTTTGAAAATGTCCATTAGCTTAACTGAACATATTTTTAGGATTTTTTTTGTCCTGAAAGAAAATGCAAACAAATTAAAGCAGCAGTTGAAATAGGTTTGCGTGCCATGGCTCTAGCACTGCGGGAGATTTTGTCTTTACTTGACCAAAGCTACGCTGTACCTAGGAGAATATGGGAAAATGTTATGCTGACAGGTGTCCAGACAGCCCTCTTGTGGAGCAAAATAGAACTTTTCTCAGTTAAAGTGAAGGCGTAACTCTAATCACCAGATTTTTTTCCCTTTTTTAACCTGAAACAGCACTCTGTTTTCAGAGAACATATTTTTCATGATAAAATGCTAACTGTTTTAGTATTATGTTCACTGTTATTACTGTTTTCTGCTAAGAATGGTTTAACCCGTTTCATTTCTCTGGAGAAACTATGCTAGTGTTTTTAGGGAGGTGGCCCAAATAAAAGAGACACGTCAGGTAGTAGGTAGGGTCAGCTGTAGATGACTGATCATGAATTGCAGAATATTCTTTGACCTTCATCTTGTGCATGGAATTATTTTTAGCTTCAAAAATAATAATCCCTTATAATTTCTCAGCTCTATGTGCCGTTGTTGTATATTTATTTCAAAAAGTAATACAGAATTTAAAATTGCCTGACATAGTCAGATTAAGACTTTATAACCTGCAAAATCCTCAGGTACAGTCTGCTATTACTAAATTGCTCACAGAAGGAAGTACATAATTGTGGTACATACATGCTGTAAAATGCACTGGATATTAGTTAAAGTGCTTCCGTTTCCCCGTGCTGAAGGAAGCTCTAAAACATGAGAGCCTTCAGCTATGAAGGAAACGGACAGACTGATTCGAGTGTTAACCAGAGTCAGGTAACATGAGATGGGCACACTTAGAACAGAAATGTTTTCATCGTCATGGCAAAATGTTTTAATTGGCATGTTTTAAACCAGCTTTTTTTTCCTAGTCTAGATATGGTACAAAAATCATGCAGAGTTTATATGATATGCTGATGTCAGAGTCTTGAAACATTTTTAATAAATACATAGGTGATTTCTATTCTCTTCTATCCTACCTCACTTTTCTATCAGAGTTGGAACTCCAAGGCATTTTCTCAAAAATAAATATTAATTCTCGTTATTCAGGCAGAGAATAATGTATTTCTGAAACAGAGAGGTTATTTTCTCAAAGCTGCTTGGGAAGTTATTAATTATGTATTTCAGGAATTTATCAATTTTCCAGCTCCCAAAATCTGCCTTGACCCCTTGAAAAATTCGCAAATGTTTATATCCATCGACTTCAGTGAAACTGCTCTGGTTTTAAATGGATGCAGATGAATATAACATGACCCTGAATATAAAATATTTCTTCAGCTTCCTTGTCTGCAGTGTAATTTATAGGAGTCGGGGAGTTCCAAATAAAATAAATATGTTATGTTGAGTCAATGGATGTTCTGCTGTCAATTTAAGGTGGGGTCAAGATTTATTCCCAAAGTAGCTAAGTAAGCGTCTTTTCTTTCACATTGGCTGTTGTAAATCACATTAGATTTTTTTAATGTTCCCACAATAAACCACATAAACTATTTTCTTACATCTGAGAGCAAGCAGACTCTTTACCTTGTTTTACCTTGGGAATAATTTAAAGAAAGATTTCTTTATCCCATTCAGAAAAAAAGCAGGAAGTTAAACAAGGTGGAATAGAGAAGTTCTGTTTTTCTCCAAGGATAAAACTTAATTTTAGGCTAGAAATGCTGATAAGCCAAAACATCAGCCTTTGAAAGAAACCTCTTTCTGTCATACTTTGGAAATATAGAGCCTTTTTCATGGGACAAATTTGAAATTACAAAAGGAGAAAGAGAGAAAAAAATTTCTGAACAAAAAGCCATTTATATTGTTTATGTTTCTTCAGCATTTCACATACTATTACTGGAACTGTGGTATTTTTTTGGATCAGGGTTTAGTTTTCTGTTTGCTGGTCAATCAATAAAACCATAAATCTCTTCCACGTTTTAGGATGGTCTGTGTTTTCAGGGTTCCCTTTCTGGTTTGGACCTAGGCTATGTGTGATTAGTGTAATCTCCATTGCCTAGTTTCTCATCTTGAAATGGAGAAGCAGCAGTTCCCTACTCCACAAGGAGTGAATTCCTTGTGAATGTGTGTAATGTGAAAATTCATTATTGGCTGTAAAGTATTCAGATACAGCATTAACAGGAGTAATCAAAATAGAGCTAGTATCAAAAAAACGGTACTCTGTCCCGTCACAGTATCTGCCTTTAGAAACACTTACATACAGAATACTCATTTTACAATGGTGTTATATATTGAAGTTAAGAGGCCTAAAAACTGAATGAGGAAAAAGTGAATATGTTCTTTTTTTTTCTTGCTCTATTTTCTGGTCAATCCACAATATTTTCACGGACCAATTCTGGAATATGAGGCCATTTGCCAGTAGATTGTTATTTCAAATTTGGCCCAAGTATATTGTGAGCTAAAAATACTCTCTAATGACTGTTCACTTGTGTAAATTAAATATGCCAATGATTTCACCATTCTTTCCAAGAAAGTGGAAAGCCTATATGCATTTTACGTCCAGGTCACCTACAATTAAGGAGCTGTGATCTTTCCTTTTTCCTCATAGAGTTTTAAAATTATATGGCTGTTGGCCATAAGTCAGGCAAAGCAACGGTGAGCATGCACATTAATGTGAGTGAGAAAAACACTGCTGTCTCTTTTGGCTTTTTTCTGGAAGCTTGAGTGATAAGAGTGGCACACAGCATGGAAATTCTCTTGCAGCACAGTATTCAGCCAGCCACATCTGAGCCATATTGTGCCAGACTCTGGTTTCTCAAGGCCGGTCAGTATTAGGTTCTTTTACCCCCCCCCCCAATTTACAGCTGGAATAAATGAGCTTTAAAAGACAGTTACTTAAATAGCCTTTGCAGAAAATGTTTCAAGTGTAGTCTCAAAATCTATGCAACTTCTGCTTCCACCCTCCTACTAAGTGCTGAATTTGAGGCATGTAGTCTATTTCCTAAAAAAAAAAAAAAAAAAAAAAAAAAAAAAAAAAAAAAAAAAAAAATAGTAATTACAAGTGAAAAGGAGTTAAAATTAACCTTTGTGCTGCTTGATATGACTTAAGGAGTGGAACTAGAAGGGAAAAATAAGTGTTAGTGTTTTAGCTCATAAACTGAGCGTTTGCTTGGACTGGTCCATGCTTCCTTCCCTGGGCCCTTTGAAAATGTGCTACAGACAGTGCTAGTTTTGCTTTCACTGAAATCAGTGGGGGAGAGTTGTTAACTTCAGAGAGAGGACTGAACTCTGGACTAGAAAAAGCTGTTTTTCAAAGCTAATAATTTGCTTTGCCTTTATCACAAGCAGTGTATTTATTGGAATGAATTAGCATCCATCTCATCAGAGAGGCCAAGGGCTGGGTAGAGTTTCAAGGCAGAGCTATGCTCACTCCCATGAGAATGGTCAGAGGAGAGGAGTAAATGCAGAGCAGTGGGGAGAAGCTTGCATTGCTGCTCCCTGTCTCCCATTCACTTCTACGGATAAATAACCTAGGTCCCCATGGAGTCCAGGTTGCCCAGGACCTTTCACAAAATTTGTTTACACGCACCAAGCAGAAAAACAGTCTGACAAATGTCGCTGACTATAAAAAGCAACTTTAAAAATACAAATAAGTATATGCTGAAACCACCAACCACAGCTTTTTCAGAGCATCCGTAGTTGATTGAGCTTGACTTGGATTTGATTTGCACTGGCAGACAGGAACCATCCTTCATTTATATGCAAGGATCTACATTCCAGTTTATAGCCTTTGCGTCCTCGTGAACCTTGAGCAATATCAGTGGCTGGACAGTATTATAAAAAGTGCCAGCAGGTTGCACGATTCCACATGTGCATAGATGTTTCTCATAGTTAAGATTTTGAATAGTAATTCTGCAAAGCAGCAACCTTGCTTGATCACCCATCTGCCCTATACAGGTGCCTTCTCTATTAGTGTATTTTCAGGGAGTTGTCCTTAATTTTGTACCAAGAATCAGCTTTGCTCTATGTCTTTTGCAGGTGATTAGAACTCCTCGTCCTTGCTATATTTGCAGTGTGTTAGTGTTAGTGTGTCAGCCAGCACAGTAGGTGAGAGCAGTTGTCTCTGAATAGAGTGACAGAGCAGTAATGACTGTGGACTACTGAGGAGCTGGAACTTGTTATCTGCTCTTCCCTGGGAATCTGCTTGTTTTTGTCATGACAAACTTGAACAACTTAGCTGTGAATTGTTAATAGGTGAACTTAGAACATGAAACTTAAATGATCTCCTGGGTTGCTGAGTCCTGTCCCTTGTGTGCAACCCCATCATATAATCCCAGTGAAAGAGTGAGTTTTAACCAAAAGATGTGTTACGTAAAAAAATGGACGATGGCTGTGTCTCCACAGGTTGCACTTTAAAAGGAAAATAAGATTTCAGTTCTTTGAAAGAACAGGTGTAGGCAACTGTACTACTGACTTGGATCCCAAGTAGATGGAAGCAGCTAAAATTCTGAAGGCTGTTGACTGAGATTCATTTCTGTACTTTGGGTTTCTGAGAACCTAGGCTGGCTAGGCTTTGGGCCCTGCCCAGACATCTGACTCAATCCATATTTGCACATAGGGCAACTAGATGCATAATGGTAAACTCTGGCTTCCTTTCTGAGGCCTTGTCTCCTCAAACCTTTAAAAACCCATGAGAAGTGTCTGTAGTAGTTCCTGGTAATTTACACAAACCTAAAAACTTAAAGTTTTTAGGTTTGTAGCACTGAAGACTGGAGCACATAGTGGAATAACTGTAGTTTGCATAAGCGTTGTTTAGTTTCTGTAATCTCTGTAGCTCTCTCTAATTTTTTTTTCCAAGCACAAGCGTTCTTTTTTTTTTTTTTTATGGGAGAAGATAGTAGTTTGGCTAAAATGGAAAAATATTGTTTCCAGGTCTTGTCAAGTTGGCTAGTTATGGTCACTGAATAGCAGCAGCTAATCTTTAGTACTCAATGATATATCAGAAAGTTCCTTGTTAAGGCATCCTTTGAAAATTCCATGATTTTGAAGTATCATCTGAGTGGTAGGTATAATCTCAACTTATTGTTTTATTGTCGTATGAATACAGGATTTGAATAGTTGTGGTCTGAAAGTTACATAGCAAAACCATTACTACTCATTTGTGGAAAATGAGGAAAAAGTACAAGTGTAAAAGCACAAGCTATGGAAAACAGGCTATTTCTAACAGTAACTCTTTCCAGGTATCATTCTTCATCATCCAGGGTAACATTTGCATATTTTTACATCATGATTTCGTGGACTATAACAGCCTTTTCATTTTGTTGGCAGAAATAACGTGGAGGGCTGCTTTGAAAGATCCTGCTCAAACTTGTATGTATATGCATATATATATGTGTGTGTATTTACATATTCATATACACACCCCCACGTACATGTAGCATTTTGTTATGTGCTTGTGTGTTTTCACCTGACAAAGGCAATAGTTAGATGAGGGATTTTGCCTTGTGAAGAACTGCCATTTCTTCAACGTACTAAACATGAAAATCATCAGATTTCTATTATCTGAGTAGAAAGAGGATGTGGACCTGCCTAAATGAGGAAAACCTCCCTTCATCATATGGTTTGGGTTAAACTTGTCGCTGGAGAACGCTGTCAGTCATAGTCGCTGACGAGGGCGTATAGTGGGCAGTTAAGCCACAAGTAAACATTACAGCTTTACCAAAAGGATAGGCGTGAAGTAGCCATTGGTTTCACAGGAAGGGAGGAAATTACCCTTTTCCTGATTGCTGGGTAGTTAAACTCTCTTTCCAGAGGGGATATTAATCGATGAGGTGCTAATTCAAACAGTGAGGACAAAGGAACAGTGAATAATTTAAAAAACAGAACTGTAAACAGCTGAATCCTCAAAAAAGTAAGTGACTTTGTAAGCAATTTCTTTCTTGTGTTGCTTGACTTAAATTAACCCTGAGAAATACAAAATATCTTTTTGTTGACTTAGTCTGCAAATTCATGGTTGATTCATTGTAATTGAATTAATATGTATGGAATTTAGTTTGAGGTGTTCTTTAGTGCTGAGATTATTTGAGTATCTGTCCATACTAAAAGGCAGCTTGATAAGATCCAGTGGTCCCAGCAGTAGGAAATAATTATCAGAACTATCAGGCAGCTGTTTGTAATCCTGGTAAATTAAAACTACTTTCTTTTTGTTAACTGTTATGTAATTTATGCTTTAGTTAACACTAGTGAAGTATCTCTTTCTGAAGGCTTTTCTTCTATGTCTTTGTTTTCATAGTCTGCCATTTGTTTTCCTTTGTGGCATACTTAAAAAAAAAATTCGGGGATTGAAAGTGCTTTTAAAACCCATTTGTTTTTCAATGGACCTAGTTTATTTACTACTGGACACCCCAGAATCTATAATTTGCATGAAAACGCTCTCCTTTGTTCTTTTTCCAACAGATATAAATCAGTGTTTCCGCCTCCCTGCAAATTCTGCATGCGCTCTATGCTGGTGAATGCATGTCCCTCTTCAGAATAGCTTTGGCATATTGCCACACTTACCCTGCTGCAGAGTAAGAACCCCCAAACCTAACTTAACTAACCCCCCTGAGAAAGCAAAATGACATGACAAAATATATAAGCACAACTTCCAAGCAGAAAAACAAGACCTCAGAACAAACCAGAGACAAATTTTCCCATTAGCTTTGTTCCAATGATATAACATTCACAAAATTGTCTGAAAATATGACACTGGTAAAATGGTAGTAATGGTTACTAGGTTGCATGAAAGCATATACTGAAAAGCCTTGTAATCTGGAACTCACCACTCCAATTTTTACTATGTCTGGCCATAGAAGGAAATAAAACAAGGAAAAGTTTAGGGCTCAACCTTACATTCTTCAGGGATTTAAGACTCCCACTGCAGTTGATCAAAACCGTAGAAGAATAAAATGCTATATTTCGTTCTGAATATAAAATGAACAAAACAAAATTCTTTCAGATTAAATGCACTTTTCTCTGTAAAATTCTATTCTCTTTTTTTTGCTCCCAAATATATTGCACATACTGATTATACTGTGCAAATCTGGCAATTGCTTATTAGCGCAAAAGCCCCTTTCATTTGAAGGGGAGAAAAGGTATGTAGGTCATATTAGTAGAAAAATTCTCTTTTAAATTTAGTAATCTGCTGTACTTGGGGAAAAAAAAAACTCCATTTCTATGGAAATTTTTTTCTCCACAAAATGTCTTCTGGATCTTTAGCTGTTGTGATTTCATATTTGGCACAGTGGCAGGAAGGGCGAGGAAAATTACTGTGTGAAGTTTAATCCTCCCTTTGCTTTTGGATGATGATGAAGTCAAACTATCATCCCAGTACGTATTAGAGCAGTCACAAGTCTGTTCCAGTTTATGGTGAAGGAAACAGCCCCTTAAGGACAATTCCTCATGGCCCCAGACCTGCCAGAATGCATTCCACACTCCAGAATGCATCCTGTGCTGACGGGAAAAGCAAATGGCATACTTTTGCTTGCTGAGGTTTTGCTTTTACAGCAGATGGTGTGTGGAGGTTATTTACCCTCTAATTTCCTCTTTTGTCCTACTGAAATAGTACTGAACAAGCCCAAGAATTCACTGCCCTACAATAACTGGATTTGGCAGAGTACCTGAAGACAGACTCATGTGCCATTACAAGCAAAATACTCAGATCTGCTCTGCAACAGGGCCTATATTTACCTTATCCCAATATTTACAAAAGAAGTGCTATTAAAAGAGCTTTTTCTAGCAAAGGTTCACCTATCAGCTGCCTGGAGAAAAGAGGAAATCTTTAAATAGCAAGAAACATATAACAGAGGTGCCAGATCCTGAGATCCTTGAGTCTTTCTTCAGGCAACCCCCTGTTAATTCACTAGAGTTTACTCTGGGGCAAAAGCAAGCAGTCAAGTAAGGCTTTTAAGATTTGCCCCAGATTATTCATTCCATGGAGGAGAGCTGTACACTGGCCAGGGACTGAGGACGCTCCTTCACTTCCCAGGGGCAAAATCTTTGCCTCCTGTCTCATGAATTCCCTGCACAGGTCAGACCTTGCCACCCCTTTCCTCCAGTGTCAGGGACTCTATATCCCATTGTAGCATAATCTCCACCTTTCATTCATTCATAACTTTTTACATGTGCAAGATATCAATTTTTTAAACTGTACTGGGAGAAGAGGAAGCAGGGTGATTTTGCTGAAAGGAGTTAACTGGTTCTTGTTAAGAGACTCTACGATCTCTGGACCGTAACAGAAGTGCTTAAAACTAATAGCCTCACTACCTAGATGCTGAAGTGTGAGCATTGCCGCTTCTCACTGAGCGCTTCCCTCTTCTGTTTTTTCAGTTGTTCAATGGGAACAGTAGTGTTGATATCTGAAAAATTTGGAATTGATTTAGATTCCAACAGTGTTGTAGATTTTGCATGTTTTGCATTAACGACAGAGGAGTACCACTAGTTATTATTTTACTGCTTCCATTTACAAGATTCAGTAGGCTGACAGCTCCTCAGCTGGTTTAAAAACGGTATGATTCCAAATGAGCGCAGTACCGCCAGAATCAGGTGAAGCTATAGTATGTAGGTATTAGAGGAATAATATTACAATTTTACCAACTGAAAAGCTAAGGTTCAGGGAAGTGATGAGGCCTGGCGGCAATCACTGCAATCACAGCAGGTTCTTGATAGAACTGGAAATCAAGAAGAGTCTCCTAAAAGCCAGTTCAAAGCTCTGACGCTGCCTGACTGGCAGAGGGACTGATTGCTGGTGTTTTGAGGAGCTCGGCTCTCTCTTAGGTACAAAAGGATATGAATCTACTAAACATAAATACAAAATGAAGGCATAATGTAACACATTGTACAGTTACAAAATGATACTTTCAGTGTAGCTTTAAAAGCAACTTTCTGTTCATTCAACATTATTTTCTGTAAACCAGAGTGCACGCCGACAAAGAAATACTGTTCAAGCCTTTTCTCTGCTTAAGAAAAAGCAGCTTGCAACTGTAAGGTCCATTTCCATTCATCAACCACCACATCTGTTGCTTGCTTGGACACCAACCAAAATGATTCATTCAGATGTCTAACATTTATTTTTGGTGAAATACTGGGATTACAAAAAAAGGCAATATTTCAAAACTGGGTCTAGAAAACCAAGGGAAGTTGGAAACAACTTCCTCACAGCTGAAAACAAACACTGTGTTATATCATTCTGCAGCTTTATTAGAAGGAAGGCAGTAGCCAAGTGAAGCAGCTGGAATCACACTGAAGTCGCTCTGAACTTTGCAGATCGCTTCACTCTTCCCTCTGCTGCAGAGATCGCATCCCCGATTTACAGTGCACTTCCTTCCAAAGAGCTAAACAGGGTAGGTCCATTTCTCTGTTATGTTTTAAACCTTTCTCTCTGTCTCTCTCTCTCTTCCAAATGAATGCGTTTCTGCAGGTACAAAAACAGCTCTTGCATCCTGTAATGTAGTGTAGTGCACGCTGACTAAAGGGACTTCTTAAAAAGAACCTGATACTCTTTATTTCAAAGATTATTTTGAACTAGACTGCCAGCGTGAAATGATATGAAAGTAGGTGTGAATTTAATTTTTAGTGGCTTCCTAATGCATTTATATCCACTTCAAGAATTCCTGTATCCTGCCAAAGAATGCTAAATGACCTCGACTTAAATAAGAATCTGTTAGTCTTTCTCTGTAACCTTGTATGTCGGTTATAATTTGTTTGAATTGCTTAAGGGTAGTATGTTTCCTACAGCTGTACCAAATTCCAGTGTGTTGGGTCTGAACTAAATAGATTCTAGAGCAGAAACTGAAAATCACTCCCGGTTACAGATTAACAAAATCTGAAGAATTACACTGGTGCCGAATTAAAAAGGACTCCTATGAGTGGAACTGGAAGATGTGTACGCATATGCTAGTCGTGAAATAAGCTAGAAGGATGTGCATCTAGCTGTTATGAACAACGGTGTTTCCTGAGAGGGGACAAGATAATGTGAACCCTTTCATATCATCGCACCATGAAACAGTATAGGATTCAACCTCCTGTTCAGACTTCGAGATAACCACATCATTGTCATCTGTAGCCTTTCAAAATACGATCTATTGCAAAGCAAAAAAATACCCCATAAATGTTTTTGTAGACTTGCAATAAGATTAGTATAGAGTCCCTAAGAATTAGAACTCACTTGCTTTCTAATTAAATTAAATTGTATTATTGCATAATTTTACATGATTATTAATTCATAGCTAAGGAGGAAACAGAGAGAGAGAGTGAGAGTGTATCAGGGTGCAAGAATTAGTCAAATCAGGTTTGTGGAAACTGTGATTCAGGATTAACTTGCTTATGACAGCTTACTTTCACTAGCTCCATATTATTGTTTTGCCTGTGTTGAATTAGGAAATGCAAACATTCTCATAACCCAGTTTAGCATTGTTTAATAACACTGCAGCTTCTGCCCAACTTTAAAACATTATCAGCTGCTTTTGCCAGGCAAACTGGACAGAATAGAGGTTTTATCAAGTTTACCTTAATCCTGAGGCTTTTGTATATACACTGTGAGTGATCCTAGAGTTGCACTTAGAATCCCTTTGATTCTGGCACAGCAGAGAGCATTCAACCCTGGAGAACAAATGTATGGTCTAGATTCTATAACTGCATTTGCAGAGAGGGATCATTAGTCACGGAAGCTCTGTATAGGGATTCATTGGCCGGATCTGACCACAACTTTTCACTGAACTCATGGGGGCAGGGATAAACTGTTGATGACAATATTGCAATTTATATGTTGTATACATTATAAATTCTTCCTTTTTGTTCTAATAAGTTCCTTCTCCGCTGACAGCTTAATAAATAACTTCTGAAAAGCTGTTAGAATCGTGTTTATTTCTGATAGATAGCTTGATTCAAGAGGTGAATTTATAATTGTGTCTACTAGCAACTGGCAAGCCAGTTATCTTAATAAATGACCTTCTGCCTGTGTTTCTGAAAAGCCACAAAGTTTGTCATGTGCTCTTGGATATTATCTTTTAGTGAATAACTGCTATTCCAAGCAATAAGGAGCTGATTTTGCAGAGGACTGCAGGCTGAGCGCTCTTAGGGTTAGTTTGTTTATTCATTGTGTCTGATGGAATGTGCCAACAGTTAAGCTGTGTCTCTGTCACTGTGGTGGCTGGATGTTTGGTTTATTTTCAATCATTATTTTCTGATAAAGGTTTGATTTAGATTCCTTCGGTCTGAAGCTAGTGGTTGCACAATGTTGCTCGCTTTGCAAGAGAGTAAGTGGGAGGAGCAGCTTCTCCTGCCAGATTGCCAGATGAGAGGGCTGCTGTGACTGGGAAGGGCAGTGACCAAGAGGCATTAGGTTTCAGAGGGGAAAATGCCACCATGCACAGATCAACTCCCCAACACCTACTGCTACTGTACAGTGTCCTCGTGGCTCTTGAGACAGAAGAAACATGTCTCCTCAAAGGAAACAGAGCGTTTCTAGGGGAGCTCAGCATGAGCACTTGCTCTTTCCCCAGAAGTTACTCGTCAAGACCATTGTTCTTGCCATGTCCTCAGCTTCTAGTGTCTACTATTAGTCTCCTCTCTCTGGCAGATCTTTACAAAACTCTAAGTCACAGCATTTAACAGGGATGACTTCAGTGCACACAGAGAGAATTAAGCATCCCTTCTCTTGTGTGGGATCCTTCTCCTCTGGTCATTTCCTTGGTCAAAGTACTTTTTCATCAATTACCAGTGCAAGAGAAGAAGAGACTAGTGTATTAATTCTTGTATTTGCTTGACCTTAAAGCTATTGAGAGTTGCTATATAGGCACTTTTCACATATCCACTACCATAGGCCATTTAGTACCAACTGCTAGCTCGAGTATGTTTAGATAAATCCACTGAAGGTTTGCTTGTATGAGGATGGAAGCCAAACCAGTTAAGATCCTCATAGTTTATCCCACAAGCTTCAATATCTGTTTATTTTTTTGGCTTGAGTTTTTGAGGATTGTTTTTTCCTTTTTGGGCAGGTCAGTCAATCTAAGGCGCTTAGAACACTTGGACACCACTTGCAGAGAAAGGAGGCGTAATGGGGGGTTGTTTGAAGCTCTGAACTTGGGAGAAAAACATGCGCCATCTAGTGGGGAGAGTATGAATATTTGCAGTTTTAACTTTTAGGATTCTTGGGTTGCTAATTAGACCATAGAAAGGTAATCTGGGAGATGGGAGCAATGCGTTCCTGTTTCTGTTAACCCTCTCTTCATCTTTCTTCTCCCAAATGTGTTTGTTTCTTTCCTTCCCACCCTAATACCTCTCTCGTGGGCCTTCTTGATACTTCTCAGACGATGTATTTCAAGAGTCATGAGGCACCAGTATGAAGAACCAACACCTTTATTCTCTATCCACAAAATATATTTGCCTCTTCATTCTTTTGGCAAGGTCTGAGTTTGTCTTCAGCTCCACCTTTGAATCTGCTGTTTGGTTTAGACAAGATAATTCTGTTCTTTTCCCTACCCTCCTTGTGTCTGTTTATTCTATTTTAATTATAAACCAAGAAGGAATTGTGTCTCATTATGTGCTTATATAGTGCCTAGAACCAAAGAGGCTTTGATCTCAAAGGCTAGGGCCTTTGGGTACTTTCCTTACATAAAATACTTGCCTCTTTCAGCGAGTGTGAGCCTGGCACAGCAAGTTTTGTTCTCTTTTGAAGCTTGCTAGATGAACGAGGGAGTAAAATAGTAATTAGAAAACAGTAGGCACTGTAGCATCCATGTAATTCCACATTTTACAATCCTGTTTCTTCTTTCTGGTGATCCTCTTTCAATGAGTTTAGCTTCACATCCTTCCACTGAGGTGGTTCAGAAATGTGAAGAACCATTGTCCATACAGGAGAGCTGAGTAACATGTGCCCTTCCGGGGGGGGGGGGAGGGGTGTTCCTTATCTGGTGGAGTCAAATTCAGTATGAAATAGGAGCGATTTGCAAAGGTAATATGGGAAGGCTGTAGAGCCAGTATTTCCAGGCTTCTAGTTTAATACCATAATCATAGGTGCCATCTAGTCTCATCAGTGTTAGGGAGTGTTCCCAATGGCATATTAGGGAGATAGATAGATATCCAACCCTCCTGAAATTATTTTAACAGTATGAAGTTTTCAGGTTTGCAGAAATGCAGGCAGGGATTATTTGAGACCTGAGCTTAAAGTAAATAAAAGAATTAGCTTTGTATGAGTGGGGATATTAAAGATATGCTCACACAGAAGTAAATACTCTTAGTCTACGGGACACAGTGACTCTAGTGTATTAACTGTGAGGACAAAATGAAGCGTGTTATCTCATCAGTTGAAATTCTTGGCTTATCTACTAGCGCTGTTTCAGAATTGGATGTTCTGATAAACCAGTGCGAAAGTATGTGTCAGGAGTAATATAACCATAGCAATGTTGCAATCGTGCTAGAAGTAACTGCTGATGTAGATTTAATGAGCAGTAGAGTTAACCTATAAGAATAGAGTTAAAATTTACAGGGCAGTACATAACCAAACATACTGGCAGAAGTGACTGAAAAATGAATATGTAAAGTAAAACAGGATAGAAGAAGGCATATTTGAGGAATGAGCTGTGTTGCTAATTTTCCCAGGGGTTAGCTCTTAACTCTTCTTGTTGAAAGGACTGTAAGTATAACAGATTGTAACCTGTTTTTTGTCTGTAATGTAATAGAGATTCCATATCTTGTTGGAGGAGGATGTTCTGATTTTTTGATGATGACCTGTTGTCACGCTGTGGTAGTTTCAGAATGGCTGTTGTCTAGCATATGTTAAATTGGCATTAATCAATCTGCTGACACAACAGTTGCTATTCTGAAAGAAACCTCTATATTCACTCTTTATTCTCTGTTCTCACTTTGGTCCTCCCTGTTAGGAGGGAGTTGTGATTAAAGCATGTGTTTGCTGAAGGAGCACAATCATTATAAAAACATGTGCAGCGAAGCGTAATGATCATAGGAACTCTATCCAAAACCTTGTTCCGTCACAAACGGGAAACAATTGTGAAATAACAATTCCATTTAACGTTTCAATGAAAACCATAAAAAGCTGTGTTTAATTGGAAATACAAGCATTCATTATCTTATCAATCCAGTCACTGTGAAGATGAAAAAAAAATTTAAAAAAGGGCGTCTCCTTTGCTGTAGGTATGCAGTTATTGTCTTGGCAGTTAGCCAGAGAAAAGACTGCTGGCATTTGGGAAGGAATAGAAAACATGTGAAACTTCCCTGGAACAAAATTTCGTTAGCATGCATGTCCTCTGTGCTGAAGACACAACCAATATGATACATGGTGTCCCTGCTCGGCTTGATCATCAGGGAGGTGTGCTTGACAGCT